AGAGAGAGAGAGAGAGAGAGAGAGAGAGAGAGAGAGAGAGAGAGAGAGCATTGTAGCGCGTAGGGTTCCAAAACTACGAGGAGCAATTTCCGTCAGTGGGAACTATCTCCCTTCCCTTCTGCCGTTTGTACAACTAAATATTAATATGGACTACAACTAATACTAATACTAATACGGGCTACAACTAATACTAAATACGGACGGTAAAATATTTCTGGAAAAAAGGGGGAACGCGGGATTAGTTTTAAGCTGAAGAAATTGCATTTCCACAGTTAGCATATTGTTACAAATGACAACGATTTGAGAGAATCGAATGAGTTTTGGAAAGAAACGTATATTGGATAATAAATCGTAAATGTTAGGCGGAATTTTATCTTCTGTATGAATGAGATACGATTTTCGCGTTGAAACGTGAAGATAGAATTGAGATTTATTTCGAAAGTTCTTGATGACAGTATTAGATATAAATCTGTCACATTCTAACGGTTTTCTGTTGCTTCCAGGTACATCAGCATTGCGTTACACAAGGTACGGTGGCCAGACGGACGTAACATCCGCCGCGCAGAGGCAGGGTCAATTCGGTACTCTGACGAGGCGACATCGGCCTTCATTGGACTACGCCTCTGACACCGAGGCCACGTGCTCCAGCTCGCCAAAATCAGCGTATTACTACTATAGGCACAACATGAACAATCCACCTCAAAGTAGCGCCGTATCGCACTTAGCTACCCTTTCGAGATCACAAATCGGTCAGAGTTCCTCGGGTGAGTTGAAACTAATCATCGAATACAATTCACGTCTCGCCGCGTTTTAAGAACGTATCATTGAAACTTTAATTGTGATCGATAATAACCATTAAGATGCCAGCGATAGTCGATCATAGTATATCTCTCGTGTAAAGTTAACAATACTTGAAAATTGCTGCCTTCACTTATATCTTGCTTTAAACAAGAAGTAAACATGTGATGAAACGATACTTTTATCAGCCACCCAGTAAACATCAAGTCATAGTAACATTACATCAATTTTATAATTGTCTATTCAACAATGTAAATGCAGCATAACACATGTTGTACATAGCAGTTGTATTTTTGAGTGGGAAATTATAACAATATTATTGATATTTAGAGTAACCAAACGTTCAGGTTTCAGCTGAACAGTTTAAATTTTAGCTTCAATGTCCAAAATTTGAACATTTATTACACTATTTTAAATGTTTTTTATTGTTTAATTTGTTGTTTTTCAATATTATTTTCAATATTTTTCAATATTTTTTATTGTTTAATTTGTTGTTTTTCAATATTATAATAATTATAATTATAGGTCTGTGATCATATTCTTGTATTTTTTTATAGAGGAATATTACTAGTTGGTCAGTAATAAGTTATTATTGCACAGTAGTTTTATTACTGATAGTTAATGATTTTGAATACTTAAATTACAGAGTTACTAATGCTTTAGAGTAATTTAGTAATTATGACAACAGTAATCATTGATATATTATTAGATTCTTGTGATGAATTACTGGTATAAATAATTTCTTAATAACGAAAGATAAGCACTAATTTTCTGATAATTAGTATAAATTCTTTTATATCTTGTATTTTTTAAATTAATCTATTATTTGGCTCCAATTCGTATAATGTTAAAAAATCTGAAAGCAATCATGTCATTAATGACTTGCTAATATACATTATACTAATATCTGTCACACTCTGTTTTGCATTGTTTTAACATTTGCCACCAATTATGCCATTTCAATTTTTTGAATGATATAAAAATATATTATAAGCATAATCCATAAAGATATCACCAGATAGCCAAATCTGCGTAAGCAGATTTTCAGCAACTTGCTGTAAATTTTTTTTATGCTACAAATCTCGCATAAATTCTGTTCTATCTGATGATGTTGTTAAACTGCCGTCAGAAATTTGACAGAACTTGCTAACATGCTATGCCAGCAGATTGATAGCAAAAACTAAGCAGATCTTTTAGCACTCTAACGGCAGATTGATGGCCGAAATGTCGAGTCTACTGCGTACAAATTGGCAGCAGAACTCAGTTTCTGTCACCAATCTGCTATCAAATCATGTTAGGAGGATCTGTCGCTAGAGTACAAAGTTAATGTAAACCCAAATGGCTATGGTTTGTTGTGGGATTCTGATTGAATTTGCTGCTAATCTGCCAGAATACTGTTACAATTTTGTTTATTGTGTCGTCACAGCTCATTAGCACTATCAATTTCCGTTTCGTCATTTTAGTCAAGCACTGAATAGCGCGGCCTGAGAAAAGGATAAGTAGTTGCTAAAGGATAAGTACATAAAGGCACACATATGAGTGCTGCGGCATAAAATATGTAATACCAAATTTTTATTATTTGAACAAAATAATAAAACATTAGTTTGTTAAACTATTCAATAGTTTGTAGAATACATAATTTGGACAATAGATAAATTTGTAGAAAAGATAATTTGGACAAAAGATAAATTTGTAGAAATTTAACAAAAAATATATTACATATAGTAATTCGCTAAATAATCACACTAAATTACTATACAGTGATTAATCATTAATCTTATCCTTAGTAATTACCAATAATATACTTCTTGCCATAATATATGTTTTTGTTTATTGTTATCTTAATGATTATAATCTGTTGAAATGCATTCTTCCAAAAATATATTTTTGCAAACTACATTTCTAGCTTTTTCTAGATCTGTCTAGATTTTAAAATTTTTTAATCTGGCAATCTAAGTACTATTTGATGTTTACTGGGCAGTTTAATTTTTATTTCTCTATAATAGACAGAAGATCTTTAGAAATTCGTTTAAACAGGCCAATGACGTAACGAATAAGAAACTAGTTCAATTTGGCGATTCATATTCTCTTGGCTCTTTAAAATTTGACTGAACAATCAGATTTTCTTCCTACTCTCTTTTCTCTTTATCTCCTTCTTCTGCTTGATCAACTTAAATTTATTTATAAAGGAATACCTGCCGAGAAGCATATCAGACTACTTTTTTCAGTGATGAAATGAACTGAAATGTTCACGAAACGTTAGAAACAAATTCAGAAAAGACACATGGCTTCAACTTGGAAGCAAAATTCAGTATGATACTTTTTTATCTTTTTAAGATTCCTAGCTCCTCGCATTGTTTATTTCTTTTTAATGACATAGAAGCGAGAAAATGCGTGCTAAAAATTCTTGCAAAATACGTTGAAATAAAAATATATATCTATAAAGTGACACTTGCAATCGATTAAATCAATCTGTGAAATATTTCATGCATTCCTCTTTCGCTTTAATAAACAATAATTTGTTGTAAATTAAAGTAAATTAATTTTCTTAACCTATCTCTTCGCATTCAGGTTAATTTACAATAAATTATTGTAATTTGATTGTTAGAGCAAAAGGGGAGTGCACGGAATATCTTACAAATTTGTTTAATTAATTGCAAGTGTTTATATATATATATATATATATATATATATATATATTTATTTATTTATTCCAACTTATTTCGCAAGAATTTTTAGCATGTATTTTCTCGTTTTTGACGTTATTAAAAAAAGATAAACAATACGAGGCGCTAGGAACTTTAAAAGAGAAGAGTAATTAGATATTAAATTGCTTCTAGGTAAGTGTCTCTTATACAATTAGTCACATAAGAGCATGGTCGACCTAAAAGAAAGAAAAATATATTTATTAGCATTTAAATGGCATTGATTATATTCTACAGAATTAGGGCTAAATTGCAATTACATTAATAAAGAATCCAGTCATCACTAGCGTCTATAATAGACTGGCATCTCTCTCTCTCTCTTCGTAGCACTAAATTTGTATACTTTTGCAGCAAAGATCTCCAAATACGACGAATTTCTGCAGACAACTCTTTTAAAATAGAAGTCCTTCTTTCACGAAGCTTTCCCTTAATATATGACCCATACATTCTCGATGGGATTCGCATTGGGTGACTGTAATGGCCAATTCAGTATCTCGACGCTCGATTCCTGCTTCCATTTGGAAATCGTGATTTCACGTGCTTTTCTGATGAGTTTTTTGATCGTACTACACTATGAGCACGGAGATAACGTCGGATGGATTCATATAACACTTCTATACCTTTTTTATCAATTTTGCTTGTCTTTGACACAGCGTAACGTAGGATTCTTCGAAAACATACTCATTGCTATTTTAATCTCTTTATCGATGAACTTTTGCGCCAGGCCATGTTCTGGCAAATCATCTATTACTTTTATTCTCGTAACGCTTCACCTACTTTTGAACAAACGACTTTGATTTGCGCATGTATTTGGCAACAGCTAAAGGCAACATTTTCGGCCTTTTCGGATGTGTGCATAAGAACACAACTTTGTAGCGCGACGTGTACGCGGCACTCCATTTTGATTTATGTTTGACGAAATTCCAGTAACTGACATTTTAGTCGCAATATATCAAAGAGAAAGGTGATCTATCGACACGAAAAGAAATTAGAAATATATCTTTTACCAACGCTTTTGTGTGATTGAGTAAATGAGTGAAAGTTGACCAACCAGAGGGGAGAGATGACGAAGCAGAGGGAGAAAACTTGATTTTTTTATTTAAGAAAAGTAATTGAATTATTTTTGTTAATATCGTCCAGTTCATTCCTGTTTCTCAATCCCAAATTCTTTGATAGGAACTGTTCTATGCAAGCCAAAATCTATCCAAGCCGTTTAATCGTAATATCGGTTTGCGCAGGTTTAAGGTCAAACTCGCTACCACGAAGCGGTCGGACGTTGCCGCAGCAGCCTGGTCTCAGGTCGGGCCTCAGCACGGTCGCGTCGGGCCTGATCGATCAAGAGGACAGCGACGGTGCTCTGTCGGCGCCAGAATTGCCTTCCATCAGACGAGATAGAGGTAAGCCCTAGAGCGGGACGCGATAACTGCATTACCGCGAGTACGCAGTTGCGAGTACACATAGCCGGCGGGCTGCACTGACCGTGTCGATAAACCGCAACAGGCAGGATACCATCCTCGCCGAGCGTATTCACGTCTGACGAGTACCGCGCCTGGCTGAGCCGCACGCCGAGCACCAGCGCCCTATACGAGCAGATCAGGGCGACCACAAGTAGACCACCCCGTTACACATACAGCGCCGAGAACATTCACGCAGCCGTCAATCAGGTATCCGTGTAATCACGTAAGCCTCGAAGCCGCCCGACTAGAGTCGGTCGGGTACCGTTAATTTCGTTACACTAGTAGCTGCACCTTTAGTTGTGTACTCAATGTATAGTTCCGCACTCTTACTGCGGAGCTATAAGAGGATGCTTCCAAGAAACTTCTTGGAATAATTAGCAAAACAATGTATTTCCAATTTTAAATATTGTTTCAATTCCTTACATTCGCGAAGCTTTTCTTGCTATGGAATACTAGCGATCCCACATTGTTGAAAATGAACCTATCTTTATAACTGCTGAAACTAGACTAAACTTAAAATAATGTGGTATTATAAAATACATAGAGTAATATTATGAGATTCACTTAGATAATACATTCATATCTATAATACAAAGAGAAAAAAAATTAATGGTTATTTTCGTTTCTTATTTGTCGCTCAAGTTGCTGCACTAAATTAGAACTGAGAACTGCCCTTGAATGCAAAGAATGAATCGTTACTCTTCAAAAAATAGGGATTATACATCCCTTACTTTTTAGAGATTAATTACTCTGTAAGAACTATATTAATAATTATTATTTGAAACTCGTGAGTTCAAGTAGATACTCGAATTTTAATTCAGAGTTAGATGAGAGTTTTTCAGTTAAATCGCTATTACAGATACAAATGTCACATATATCAGAATCCAACTGAAAAACTTGGACCCAAATCTGAATAAAAATGTGAGTATCTCACAAGTTTCACTTATAAGTAACTGAGGCAAGTTTCACGATTACTGCCAACTATTAATATAGGCCTTAGTTTTTTGGAGTAAAATCTCATTTAAAACAAGTGAAAATTCATTCGAAATAATAGTAAAAGTATTGCTACTCGGAATCGTAAGAATGAATGTTTCACTCAAGCTTTGAGTGAAACATTCATTCTGATCTTATACGAGTGAATGTTTTATTTGGTTAAAGCAAATTTGTTCTTATAATGGTGGAATGTATTAGATTGATTTTTCAATATCGAGTAAAAATATTTACTTGAAGATTTTGAACGGAGATATCATTTTTATATGAGTGGAAGATCACTCGAATTCGGATGACTTAGTTGTGATTCTACTGTTTTTGAGTAAATTTTTATTCCACGAAATTTAGAAAGTATTTACAAGAGAACTTATTTTTGCACGCACATACTCAATGAACACAAATTTCCATTGAGTTCTGAGGTCTACTACTCACGTTCGTAGTTAAAGATTAACGGTGATAAATTTTAAATTTTGAAGGACGTTTTATTATATATTTTATTATATATCAAGTTAGTCAGAAAGTCTTTTCGTATTTTATACAAAAAGAAAAAAATTTATTTTTCACGAAAAACTTTTATTTTAATCATTAATATAATCTCCACCTCTCATTTAATGACTTCCTCTCATCGATCTACAAACTTGAGAATTCCTTGAAAAAGGCATGAGTTCTGGAATTAAAGAAAAGATCCAACGTTCTTTGAACTTTGTCCGCTAAATCCAAATTTTTTTCGTTAAGAAAATTTTACAGGGATCTGAAAGGATGATAATCGGATGGCGTGAGATCAGGAAAATACAGTAAGTGCTCGAGAAGTTTCCAATTAAGCTCTCCGATTTTTCATCTTTTTGTGAGTGCGCTCGCATGGAAGCGAGCGTTGTCCTAGTGGAAGAAAGAATACCTTTACGATTGACAAGTTGGAGCCGGAGCTCCTTGAGTTTTGTTTGAACTCTTTCCAACTGACAGTAGAGGTCCGTATTGATCGTTTAGTTTCTTAGTAAGAGCTCGTAGTGGACAATTCCACGCGTACACCACACACTTAACATGATCTTCTGCCCTTCATGATGTTTCGCTTTGGAGTCTTTTGAGCTGAACTTTCGGGCTCATACCAACTTCATTTTCGTACTACATGATCGTAGAAGATCCATTTCATACATAATCAGTCGATCAAGAAAAGGTTCGTTGCGATGTCGGTGAGCAATATAACACACTTGGAGATGCGGTCAAGCTTGTTTCTCTCGCTCAATGCATGCGGCATCCACTTCTATTTTGATAAGAAGCTAAGTTGATGGAGGCTGTTGAATGGTTTCGTGAGCTACCCCGAATTCTGCCTCGAGCTCGCGAGTGATAATATCCTAAGTTTCTTTGACTCTGTTTCGCAAGCGCTCTTTGTCGATAACCAAAGGTCTTTCGGATCTGGACTCATCCTCCAGATTGAAATCACCATTTTGAAATTTTTCAAGCCAAAATTGGTATGACTTGACGGTCATCATATCTTGTTGGGAAGTTTCACACAAATTTCAATATCGAATCTGAGATACGTTCATGTTCCTTTTAAACTCGTACAACAAAATTGATCTAATTTGCTGCTTTGAAAGCTCCATTTTGCGATTTTTTTTTGTAAACTTACAATAACTCACAGGCGTTCTTCGTCTGCAACAGTTTGTGCGGCGAGGTTAGGTGAATTCAAAATAATCGTCCTTTCCTCTCCTTCTCATGATTTATTTCGAGTGCAGACGCGCCTAGTAGGGCGACTAAAAATACGAAAAGACTTTCTGATTAACCTAATATTTAAATATATCAATTCAAACTTGTTTTCTGTATTACATAGGGAGACTATGGCAGTTACGGTGCGTACAGACCGCTCTCGAGTACGCTCGATCGCCTGTCAACGAGATCGGCGTCGGCCCAACAGGTGAATCTCGCGAATCTGAGAGCGTCGACAGCGATCAGCTCGACGTGCCATCGCGGAGCAACGAATCCAAGGCCAGCGTCGGTAGCGTCGAGCGCGCGCTCGTCGCTCGCGACCCAGAAACCATCATTAAGCAGCTCCGCGAGCCAACGTGCAACCTCAGTCAGAAGAATTAGGAATCTGCTGGACTTGGAGTCCACAAGGAGCATACCTACTCCAACGCCTACCAGAACTCAGGATCAAAGACTGCTAGATATTAATCCTGCAGGTGAATATTCATTTATCTTATTCGCTGTTTCGTTCTCGTTTTGTTGAAAGAAAGAATCGATAAATGTTTTATAGTTATTTGGAAAGAGAAAAATTTAGTTAAAGTAATAAATATGCATTTCTTGTATAATCTAACATAGAAATATATATAATCTATAATCTTAATCTATTTTCTTATCTATAAATATATAATTTCATATATACATATACTACTGTGTCCAAAAAGTAAGGTGACATTGCATTTATTTCGAAAATTCTTTATTTATTCTTGCAAATCAATTTCGTCCCCTTCAAAGTAATCCCCCCCTGATATAATACACTTATTCCAACGGATTTTCCAATCTTCGAAACAGTTGTAATAATCGATTTCAGGAATGGCCTTTAGCTCCTTCTTCGCAGCGGCTAACTGTGTGACGATAATGCACCGTCACACACTGCGCTGATTATTCGTGATTTTTTAGCCAAAAACTCGACTAATATCGTTCCACAACCACCGTATTCACCTGATTTGGCTCCATGCGACTTCTGGCTCCGGGGACACCGTTTCGAGTCGATAGAAGAGATTCAAGCCGCTGCGAAGAAGGAGCTAAAGGCCATTCCTGAAATCGATTATTACAACTGTTTCGAAGATTGGAAAATCCGTTGGAATAAGTGTATTATATCAGGGGGGGATTACTTTGAAGGGGACGAAATTGATTTGCAAGAATAAATAAAGAATTTTCGAAATAAATGCAATGTCACCTTACTTTTTGGACATAGTAGTATATACACACATATATATACATATATGTGTGTTTACATGTATATATAGATCATTTCACATCAAATTGGCCTCTCTTCTGCACAAAATTGTATCGGACTAAATTTAACTTGTGATGTATCAAAATTTAGCTTGAAGCTTCTAATTTTCGATGCCGTCTAGTGATTTTGAAAACTATCAAGTAATGATCTTGAATGCGTCAGTTAAATAAAAAATGGTAAGTTTTTCTTTATTTTCTTATTTAAAGATCTACTATTTCTTTTGCTGATGAAGCCTATGTAAAAAAGTCATTTTTAATATAATTTTGTCCTCTGAATCTGAATCTCAAGTAAAAACACCAAAATTATGTTTTTTAAATAAACATTTAGTTGTTATTAGTGTCCACTTCTGAAAGATGAAAATAATGTTACTTTTTAAAACATGCTTTTTCTTTTTTGCATTATCTAATTTTTTTTGTATTTTTTGTACTTTCATCTTTCAAAAATGACAAACTAAATGTTTATTTGTAAAAATATATAATTTTGTTTTTGTTTTTCACTTTAGATTCGGATTTAGCGGGCAAAATTACATTGAATATAATTTTTGTACTTCACTTGTAAATAAAGATTTAAATAAAGAAATAAAGAAAAAAATTTATCATTTTCTATTTGACCGACGAATTTAAGGTCATTATTTGACATTTTTCAAAATCGCCAGATAGCACCGGAAACTAAAAGCTTTAAGCTAAATTTTAGTACTTCACAAGTTAGATTCAGTTCAATATAGTCTTGGATAGATGATTTGATGTGGAATGACCCATATATACAAGATGTCTCAGACTCTCCTTCATAATTTTTGTAAGAACATAAAACAGATTGAAATGAACATAAAGACCTATAGAATCTATATAGTATATTCCTTATGTCCTACCGTTTTGCGATATTCGTAATAATAGTCGAGATATTAATTAAAAAGGATTGGTGGATAATCACCCGCGATAATGATAGATGGTAGCTATAGTGTGCTGTTATATACATTAGGTCGAATTGAATAAAAAATTATTATTGTGCAAATAATCATATTGATTTTTAATTATTAATGAAAGAAAATTATTACATAATTTTGCGCGATAATGTACACATTTTCTTTAATTAATATCTAAAAATCTATGTGGTTATTTACAAAATGGTAGAACACTTTTTTGTTAAATTTGACATAATGTATAAATATACAACCGCAGACAGCGCCACTACAGCTTATCTATATCGCGTAATCATTCACCAAATTTCTTTAATTAATATCTCGAGATTTATTGCGAATATCGCAAGACGGTATGGGACCTTTATGTTCACTTCAATTCATTCTACGTCCTCACAAAAATTGCGAAGGAAAGTCTGGAACACCCTATATATACATTTTAAATACATTTTAAATAAAATATAAACTTTATATAAATATATTACACAATATTAGATTGAAGAAAATAGCAATTGATTTGAAGATATCAGAACAATTTCTATAACTGAATAACTGAAGAAATAAGTGGAAAGAATGTTTTTCTTTTGCAGAGTTCCTCAAGTATAAAATAGAGAAACCGCCAACTGTAGGCACTCCGAGTTCGACAAGCTCACTCTTGAGTTCACTCGGGGAGACCAGTGGTGGCGATTTGGCAGGTGGGGTCAGCGGATTATTGTGGGTCCATCTTTTAGCGGGACGCGGCCTCCGATCGACTACGACCTCATCGGCTGCCACTACACCTTCCACTCCTTCAGGTCAACCAAATTTAGGTGAGTCCAACGAACCGATCACATTTGTACATATTGCTCAATATTAAAAACAACAATATCGTATATAATTAAAATATTTATTTTATACAGAGTAACGAATGTTGTAACTCAGAAGTAACGAATGTTATAAGAAAAAGCGGATAGAGGGAGTCAAAATAAAGAAAAAACGTCATATACCATTTTGCAACACTCATTGAATTATTAATTAAAATGAGCCAATGAGCGCACCGGAGACAGTAGGTTGGACGCGAGAGTAAAATATAATGACTGCTTTTAGATACATGTAGTATCAGCTAGTAGCAATAGCGAGCAGTGCATGGTTGTCAGAGAGCGTTATCTTGCTCGGTGCATGGCCGTTAGTTGATCGCCATCGTTGCTTTAAGAAATTAACTAAGAGAGTTGCTAATATCGAAGAGATGCTTTCGGTACGCTCATTAGCTCAGGCTGTTTCAATTAATAACTCAATGAATATTGCAATTTCCGCAAAATAGTACATGACTTTTTTCATTGTTTTGACCTCCTC